GCTTCTGATGGTCGGCTGGCAATCACTGGTATTCCTTGGTATCTGCCTTCAAGTTTACGTGGTATTCTCCCTGTGTGTGTCTTGTTAAAAAATAAATAAATAAAATAACTGAGTAAATTTTGAAGATCTTATTGGCTTTATTCAAAGATTCATGAATCAGGCAGCATCTAATCTACCAGCTAGAAAGGAGCTCTAAAGAGAGAGATTCAAGGCAAGAGATTTTTATATAGGTAGAAGAAAGCAAGAATAGAGAAGTTGTACTAGGCAAAAAAGCAGATTGGTTATTGCAAGGTTACTTTCCTTACAGGGGTTGGCAGAGTCCATCAGGCAGATTGCCTAACTAATGCTGATTAAGTGATTCTTATTGATTGATGTAAGACAGTATTTCTGGTGGAGCAGAAACTGTAACTAAGTTAAGTCTTGGTTTAATGACATGGAGTTTAGCTAAGTAACTCCCTTTGGGACCTGTTCTCTTGTTTTTAAATCTTCACATCATCTTCCTTTTACGTCTCTGTGTCCAGATTTCCCTTTATAAGGACATCAGTCATGTTGGAGTAGGGCTCACACTAATGACTTCATTTTATTTTGATTGCCTCTGTAAAGACCCTATCTCCAAATAAGGCCACATTCTGAAGTCTTGGGGGTCAGGACTTCAGCATATCTTGTTGATGGGACACAATTCAACCCATTACCCTTTGGCTTCCTCTGAACAGTAAGAGCTTTAAGGACAAGATCTGTCCCGTTACCCATTTTAGCCACAGAGTTTTACTGAATGCCTGTCACATAGTGAGTGTTCGATAAATATTTGCTGAATAAATGAACAAATAGATGACAACCCCAATTCCTTTGGACTTTTCTCAAATCACATAAAATAGAAACTGTGTACATGCTACAAGTAAAGCACTGAATACAATTTTATTTGTTATTCAATGATATTCTGTTTGGAATCCTAATTCTAAAGCATCAATGCCTGCATACTTGAGAAATAGCCACCAACATATGTAATAAGAGTTTGGAGCAAAAGTTAATTTTTACCCCAGCACGCTGCTTACATAAGAAACATCAAAACCTTTAAGGAATTTTTATATAAGAGTTTATTTGAGACAAAACTGATGACAATTGCTGGGAAGCAAGATCTGAAATATTCTGCAGAATGACAGTATTGCAGTTTCTTTTATGCATTTGAAATTAAGGATGGAATGCAAAGAAGATTACACAAAAATGGGAGAAACCAAGGTGGAGATTGAATTACAGAATAATTAATAAGATTATGTGCTCTCTTAAAGGTGGTTGTGCCTCAAAGGCACAACCAGCAGGGAGCTGACTTATATAGACAGAAGTCCCTGCCCCTAGTCCTTAATTGGTCCATCCTCATGCAAATGAGGACTCCAAATCCTCACATGGTCCAAAAAGCACTGTCCTTATTGGAGCCTCTCTGACTGATTGGTGAAGATGTTCATAAGGATAAAGCTGCACAGCTCCAAGAGGATGACAAAAGCCTCAGTCCTATTGGTTAAAATACAGTTCCAGAAACTCCTTTATAAGGGCTGGCTTGACATCAAAAGCACAATGCAGGGAGGCAGTTTAGTGCAGGAGACAGGCAGTTCAGTGCAGGCTTCTCCCTGAAGTGCAGTTGGCATGAGAGGCCCCTGTTTAGAAATAGCTGCTAGGCTCTGCTTTTAAATTTGAGCCCAGTTAGCCACCAGAAGCCCTTCTCAGTAGGTATCTTCTTTCTTAGGGTCCACAGGTATAAAAAGAGGCATTTCAAAGGTGTGTTAACCTATGTGCACAGAAACAATGGACAGGGCTAGCTTAAGGCAAAGATAAACCTTTTACTAAAGAAGTTATAGGCCTGGGGCATGACTATCCACTATGACCTGTCGAGTTAGAAATTTATGATCAGATCACCCTGAGAGGTCCCCTTCCATAGAACCCCTTTTTCATCCACATTTTCTGAACCCCTACAGAGGGAAAGAAAGAGGAAGCATAGAATATGTGACAGAGAGTGGAAAGTGAAGTTGGGCAGATAAGGTGAATGTATAAAAAGCCAAATTGAGAAGTTCGAGTTTTGATTCAATAATCAAAAGCCATTTTAGATTTGTATGCAGATAAATGACAGAAGGATGACGTTAAAGCAGAAGTCTGGTAGCATTCTCAGGACAGGAATTTGAGGCTATTGCAGTGGCCTAGGTTTACAAACAAGAAATAACAAATCATCATTTACCCAGTGATCAGTCATAAATCATGTACCCCCCAGAGATGATGTGATCAGAAGGCACTTCACCTCTGTGGCATTCTCTCTAAAATTCCATAACCTCAGTCTTATCATGAGAAAGCATCAGATAAACCCAAATTGAAGGACAGTATGCAAAAACTAGTACTCTTCAAAGACAAAAGAAAGATTGAGAAAATGTCACAGATTAAAGGAGACTATGGACACATGACAACTAAATGCAATGTGGTATCCTGGATTGGATCCTGAAACAGAAAAAGCATATTGGTCTGATAAATGTTGAAACTCAAATAAAATCAGTAAAATAGTGTGAACGAAAATGGGGCTCTGTTATAAATCTGACAGGTCCAGTGACTGAAAGTAACCTCACAGGGTGATCTGATCATAAATTCCTAATTGAGCAGGTCATTGTAGGTAAATATAATTTCTTTAGTAAAAGGCTTATCTTCTCTGTAAGCCAGCCCTGTCCATTGTTCTTGTGCATCTAGGTTAACATGCCTTTGAAATGCCAGAAGTAACCCTCTTTCTCAGACTTTTCAGAGGTGTAACCACCCTCAAGGGAGCACATAATCTTGTTAACTATCCTGTAATCCAATCACAGAGGTTTCTCTTCCTGGCTTTCTCCCACCTTTATGGAATATTCTTTAACATTCCCTCCTTAATTCCAAATGTGTAAAAGAAACTGCAAACTCATTCTCTAGAGCAGTTGAGATCTTGCTTCCCGATATATCATCAGTTTGGCTCAGATAAACTCATAAAAATTCCCTACATGTTTTGGGCATTCTTAAGTCAACGATAGTTAACATTTTTAATTTTATGTTATTTTTTTTTTTATCTTTGATGGCTATATAACAGCTATATAAGCTGTTAACATTAGAAGAATATGGGTGAAGAGTATGTGGGAACTCCGTACTACCTTTGCAACTCTTCTGTAAGTCTAAAATTTTTTTTTTACACCATTTCTTCACCATTGGCTTTCTGGCTCTCAGACCTTTGAACTACACTACTGGCTATCCTGGGTCGCCAGCTTGCAGAAGGCAGATCATGGGACTGCTCAGCTTCCATAATTACCTGAGCCAATATCTTATGATAAATCTGTATCTATCTACATTACCATCCCCACTCCTGCCCCTCACCCTTAATACCCCCCAAAACCAGCCCACCCTTGGGTGGGGTCCAATAGTCATCTCCATTAACATAATAATGCTTAGGAAATTCCGAGGGTTTGGGGAGCAGTGACTGAAGATCAATATCCTATAAAACACAACATTGCATACACATATATATCCTATTGGATCTGTTTCTCTGGAGAATCCTGATTAATACACAATCTAAGCCTCAAACCCCACGTCTTAAAAACAGGGCTAGCAAGGGCAGTCTTTTCAACAATTAGCGTGGGGAACACTAGACATCCATATGCAAAAAATGAATGTACTCTTACCTTATACCATATTAAAAAATTAACTCAAAATTGATAAAGAGTTAAATCTAAGGGCTAAACTATAAAATTCTTAGAAAAAAACATGGGAGAAAAGCTTATGACATCAGATTTGGCAATGATTTCTCAGATATGACACTAAAAGCACAGATAACAAAAGAAAAAATAGATAAATCAAACTTTATAGAAATATAAAAGTTTGTGTACCAAAGGGCACTATAAACAGATTGAAAAGGCAATCCACAGAATGGGAGAAAATAGTTGTAAATCATATATCTGACAAAAGATTAATATCCAAAATATACAGAATCATACAACTCAAGAAAGGAAAAAATATTTAACCTACTAAAACATGGGCAAACTTGAACAGACATTTCTCCAAATAAGATTTAGAAATGGCCAATGAAGATGTGCTCAACATCACTGGTCATTAGGAAAATGCACATCAAACCACAATGAGATATTACTTCAAACCCCTTGAGATTGCTATTATCAAAAACAGAACATAAGTGTTGGTGAGAATGTGGAGAAATTAAAACCCTGTATTGCTGATGGGAATGTTAAATGGTGCAGCCATTATAAAGATAGTATGGCAGTTCCTCAAAAAAAGTAAACATAGAACTACCATATAACTCGATTCCACTTCTGAGTATATACCCCAAGGAGTTGTGTTAACATAAAAATAAAAACCAAATGGAGAAGCAACAAGCATTTATTTGAAATCCCAAAGAATGGCTGTTGGGGAAACACTGATTCCGGCAGAAACACAAATAATGTTCCAATTAGGAGGTGATGGTAAAGAGTATTTATGAGAAAGGGAAGGGGAACAATGACATTAACAGAAGAAAGGCATTTCTATTGGTACAGATAAACTAACAGTGATGCTAATTCAAAAGAAAGTTTTTAATCTTCAGTTTCATAGTAATGACATCAGCTTTCTTGTTATCTATGCAAACTGTGGTTTGGGATGCAATACTACTTTAGACCTAGTCCAAATACCATTTTGCCCAATTTTAACATTCCAAAGGTTTGAGGAGTAAGACATACAAGGCAGTTTCTCTGGGATTACAGCTCCAGCTCCATTTTAAAGTGGCTCCATTTATATTATTTTTCACAGTTGAAAGCACAGACTTGAATAGATATTTGTACACCATGTTCAAGCAGCATTATTCACAACAACCAAAATGTGGAAACAACTCAAGTGTGTATGTATCAATGGATGAATGGATAAACAAGATATTATATATATGTACAATGGAACATTATTCGGCCTTAAAAAGGAAGGAATTTTTGACACATGCTGCAACATGGATGAACCTTGAGGACGTTATGCTAAACGAAATCGGTCAGTCACCAGTGGACAAATACTGTATGATTCTACTTATGTGAGAAACTTAGAGTACTCAAATTCATAGAGACAGAGAATAGGATGGTGGTTGCCAAGTGCCAGGGGCAGGACTGGGCAGGGGGGAGGAATGGGAAGTTATTGACTAGCAGCTAGAGAGTTTCAGTTTGGGGACACGAAAAAGTTCTGAAGATGAATGGTGGTGATAGTTGCACAATAATATAAACATACTAAATATCACTAAACTATACACTTAAAATAGTTAAAATACATCTTGTTATGTGTATAGTTCATCTGAAAATGCTTTGAAAAAATAAACAGGACTGGCTTGATGCATTTTGAAGTGTGAGGACTATATATGCTGTTCAGTAAAGCATAAATCAGGGAACACCAAGTAGTGGCTCCAAACTAATCCACTTCTTCTCAAAGTGGCTAGATTCTTTTTTAAAAATTATAGTTGACAGACAATATTATATTAGTTTCAGCTGTATAACGTAGTGATTGGACATTTATATACCTTAGGGAGTGATCATCACAATAAGTCTAGTACACAACTGACATCATACAGTTATTACAATATTATTGACTATATTCCCTATGTTGTACTTTACATCCCTGTGACTAATTTTATAACTGGCAGTTTGTACTTCTTAATCTTCTTCACCTTTTTCACCCACCCACCCCATTCCAGCAACCAAAGCATCTAGACTATTGCTGGCTCAAAGGAATCAATCTGTTCCTACTATTGTCTTCCTTGCCAAAAGCTTTGCCTTACCCGCCTCCCCCCACCAACATACACCATCCTTAAAACATTAAACCTTCAAAAATAGGGCAGAAAAGGAAAGAGAAAAAAAAAAAACCTAGAAAAGCAACAAAAGGAAGCATCACGCCTTGATAGCTCCTGATTTTATTCTTCACGCTGTTTTAGCTTCCAATAGCTATCCACACACCGCTGTTGTTTCATCGCTAAGATTCTAATCGTGGGTAAACGCGGGACTGGGTTCGTTTGATTTCTTAGCTTCTGAGATGCTACATCTAAACAACGAAGACCTGGTGTGTTTTCACACAGGAAAGCGCGGTTGGTCTTCTCTCAACCCGTTTTTGGTTCCCAGAGCCCAAAAAGTAAAGCGCTTCTCTCCCCTGCGTCTCTCTCTTTTACTCCTGTCTCCCCATTTTGTCCATCTTCTTTCCACCTCTTTTCTTCACCCTCTTTCGCTCTTTCCAGTGATGAGCTCGCACAACCACAAGTCCAACACAAACCAAGCACTTCTCTTAAGAAAAATTCTTGCCAAAAGAGGCAGGAATCGGCGAGGACCCGGACCCTCCTCGTCCTCCCTCGCGCCCGGGAAAGGGCGACCCACCAGCAGTGGGACTGCGGGCGCCCAAGCTCCTGGTCGGGCCTGGATGGTGGCCGGCGCCCGCTCCCCGCGGGAACAGCTCCCCCACCGTTCCTGCAGGAGCGAGTGTT